TCAGTAATAAGGTAGCCATTCTTGAAGACATAAAAACAGACTCATCGGCCGGGCGATTCAAGTGATTTAGCTTTGAGATTAAAATATAAATTACCTCAGTCATGTCTACAGGCAGGAGCAGCCTGTGCTCTGTGGTTAGTGTGCGTACTGCTCCCTCTACTGGTGAACAGGCAGTGTTGTTATGTTGGAGGGAACTGTTGCTCTCAAAATTACAACTGTAGAGTTTTATGTGAGGGGAAGTGACATTGAATATTGGCATTTACAATACATGGAATATGCTTTTTTTCCTTTAGAGCTGATGAGCATATTCAACTTGATTCAATACATATGAGATGGATGGAAATGTATATATATTCAACAATAAAGTAAGTCAAGTTTTAGCCATAAAACGAGATTTATAAATTAAACAAGTGATGAAATACGGAAAAAAAGAACACTAGTTGTCCATCTGATCTGGTGCTAATTCAAAACCTCACTCCAGCACAGCTCAGGCAGGTTTTGGTGCCTGTTTTGGGGGGTATTCCTCCTGTAATCTGCTGAGGTGAGTTAGCTTTTCATGGGCTGACGAACCTGAGATTGAGCCCAAAATCAACATTCTCAGGCTGGACAGTCCTTGAAAGAACCACTCAAGAGTTAAAGCAGGAGTTAGTGTGCTGTTCAGGCTGCAGTGTCCGCACTGAGCGCAACTCCTTCGACAGAAACAAAAACAATTGATTAAAAAGATGCAATATACAGATTTGTGTTTGAAGATTAGTCTGCTCCAGACATGTTAACACATCTGAAAATGTGCATCTTCTGGGTGTTACTGTTTTCTGCATAATAAAAGTTTTCAGATGCACAAAGATCCACTTTGAACTTGAACTATTAATTCACACTTTACTTTCCTCTTGTCTAGATGATTGCAGTTCCCTCTACACAACGGGCCGTCGTCACACATCACACCCGTTCATCAATTTAGAATAAACCAAAAGATCCTGTTGGTAACATATAAGGAACCCCCAGTTACATTTCTCATCTCCTCGCTCTTATTTTTCTTCTCAGCCCCTCCACTCCTCAAATCTCAGCCTTTTATCCACCTCACGGTCCAACTGCAAAACTAAAGGTGATAGTGTGCAAGCTGTTTTACCGCCAACCCTCTGGAACCTTCCTCCCCAAACTAAATCTTTGCGAAAGCTTCTAAAAACCTGTCTTTATAGAGTTTCATTTCTGTTTTATGTCTTTGTTTTAGTCTTGTCTGTCTCTCACTGGGCTTTGTTTTATATTGTAATTTAACCTGATTTATTCATTCATTTATATTTTTTATGTGTGAGTGTGTAAAGCACTTTGTAACAGTGTGTTTTCAAAGTGCTATAAAAATAAAACTTACTTTATGGCCATATAGAAGAGAAATAATATATGATAATACTGTTGTCCACTACTGTAAGTTGTTTGCTGCCTTTTTTAAAAACTGTAATAACAGTATCTGTTCAAATAAGCTGTACTGTTTAATTTTTGTGACCAAATTAGACTATTTTCTTGTTGCAGTGTTGTAAAATTGTTAAACAAATAAACCCATAAATTGAAATTTAATGCACATTGATAATTAGGATTTTGGCGCCAGAAAAAAAATCATTTAATGAGAAAAAAATTGAAAAAATTAACTTAAAAATAATAAATCATTTGAGTAACATCAATGATTTTTGTTCATTCTGGTTATATAATTTTAAATCCTCCTGTAAAAAAAAAATACCAGTAGGTCTGCATCGTTATAGGGGGACACAGATGCTGTTTCCACTGTAAAAAATGTCTTATTAAATAAAAAGAGGTTTTTAATCGCAAATTCCAATAACCATAGTTAAAACATTTAAACAACATATCTGGCTCATGCGTGTGGAAAATTTCCCATTCAGGAAACTCAGAGCACAATATCAGAAGTTTAACACCACATCTGGCTCTGTGTTGTTAGCTAACCTGCACTGAAACCACTCAGAGAGCAATTAAACACTCCAGCGGAGCCTAATGCACAAACTGCATCTCATACTAAAAACATCTAAATCACCCCGGCCTGACTTTATGAGGATAGTCCAGTCTCTTAGAAATGTTACTCTCGTGATAAACTATGCAGATGGAGAGCACAGGCAAACACACACACACACACACACACACACATACACAGAAAGAGAATGAAAAGAGAAAGAGGGAGAGAAAGGGAAAGACAATACTTTACCCTCTTCAATCCAAACCCTCCTCTCATGATTCAGAAATACTTCACCGTCTGAATTATTCATCCTCAACTATCTGCATTAAGCCACTGTGCTGTGTTGGCCTACTCACACCATCACTTCAGCATTTACAATCCAGACACACTCACTGCCAGATAGCACATTAACCAAACAAATAACAGCCATAAATACATAGTTACTCTCCATGTTTCCTCCCTTTCATCTTGCAACAATCATTACAATAATGGAGGATTGTGGCAAGTTTGTGAAGTCTCTCTAAGAGCTTTCAAAGTCTCCATTTGTGTGCTTCTTACCCACATGGCAGACCCTCTGACTCCTCGCACCCAGCCAAAGGCAGACAGGGAAACAAGCTTCATCATCGCAGAGACGAGAGCAAAAAAGGAGGCGCACAGGAAGAGAGCAGAGCAACCTGGAGCCAAGCTAGTGACATGAGGATGAGAAAGACGCACAGGTCGCTGAGTTAGAAAAGGCCACTCCTGCTGTCTTCACTGAGCTGTGACCTCATCGTGCTCTGTACTACCAATGGGGATGCAACTCACACACACACACACTCGCACACACACTCGCACACAGACACCACCTTCCTGTTTGTCAGTGCTGGTGGTAAACTTTCCACTGACATCTCCATTCAAAGGACCAACATGAACTTTTCATGCATTTTGACATTAAGAATGAAATACATCTGCACTGAACTGAAATACTCTATTTAGGCAAATTGTGTGCATGTGTAGAAGGAGTAAAACAAAACATATCATGCACATTTAAGGCAATTTAACAAATTATATTAACTCATTATAGCATTTTAAATGGTGCACATTTAACTCTTGACAAACTAGCTCAGCACAAGAATAAAAACGCAGCTGCTCAGCTTCCTGATATTCTTAGCTCTCGCATGTCTTTTGACTGTCCTTCTTGCGCCTCCTCCCTCCAAAAAAAGATGCCTCTCGTGGGTCAATATCTGCCTATTAAGGCCGCCGGTTCGTAATTGTCCATCAGCCTCATCAAATGTGTGTCAATCATGCTTTGCCGTGGCTGGCGTCTTGACAGCTGTCAGAGCGATAATTATTATGGAAAGTGATGGAGGATATCAGTTCCTTTCCATGAGAAGAGGGCGACCACAATATCCTTCCTGTACATGTTCAAAGTGTAGGTAATGCCTGTCTGCTTTTTAAATGTGTGATAACGGAAAAAAAAAAAATGCAGGTCATGGTGAGTTTGAATTGTGTGGGTTTGAGGTGTGTTTTGACCTCTGAGCTGGGTAACACAACTCACTTTTGACATGGATGAAATAATAATAATAATAATAATAATACACTGTGAGACATTTAAAAGCTCTACTGCACTTTTATTAAATGTATATATATAAAAAAACATGCAGCAGCAGTGGTAAACATAAAACAGCACAGAGGCTGCAAACACAAATCGATGCATCAGTACAGAGTGAGTCACTAACAGTTGTGTTCAGCAGGAGGCCCATACTGCACAGTAGCAGATGACTAAATGGAAAATAATACAGTAGTAACAGTGCTTGGAGTTGCATTTTCAACAAGTCCCATTTCTTGTTTCCTCCCGCCCTTCATGTTGTTCATTTGTTTCTTTCCAAAAAAGGCAAAATAAATAAAAACCATCTTCAAATTCTCCGTTAAAATCCTTAAAATTAAAGTTATGATGATATAAAATGAGCTTAACATGCTCCTCTTCTTCTGATCTCTCACTGCAGCAGTTCAAATAACCATATGGATGAATATTGTGGAGTGTGACCCGACGTTTCTCTAAAAAGAACAAGGCAATGTTAAAAAGGCACCAACTTTAACAGACACATCTTATTCATTTCAATACTGATACCAAGTGTACAGATCAGGCACGAGCAGGGCTGTGTGTACGCCGCACTTTCTGACATGTAGACGTTCTAAGTTCATGTGTATGCTTTACTCAAGAGCCCTTTTGTTTTTTTAACAATCTCATCTGATGCAAAAGAAAATAAAATCGGAACGTGTTGAGACTGAAACACTTAATCTGTGTTTGTTAGATGCAGATGACCCGTTTTCATCGCAGCAAGAAAGATGTATGACTTGCCTGCTGACTGGTCGGGTCTATCCATAGAAGAGAATATGTAAATCAAGGACGTGCTGCATATATGCTACAAGTGCATACTTTTAGCTGTATAATGAAAAACCGTTTTCAACACCCGTTTCAACTGGTTAGGTCAGCATCCACAGAAAGGAAAAAAGGTGAACCAGAGAGCTAAAAAAACAAAACAAAACACAGATACGCCCACACATTTTCCGATTGAATGGTCCTTCAGAAAGTGCTCATGGCGATGGAAGTTGAGCAACATGAGTTCATGTTCCGATTTTACTTTTGTGAAAGTTGTGAGGAAGGTATGTGGTAAAAATAACCCTAAAAGCTTGATTTTTTTTCTCTTCTTCTTCTTCCTTTACGGCACGTGCAAATTCACATTCAGTTGTGTCGTCCACAGTACACGGCTTAAGGCGAGATATTTTCAGAGCAACATGCCTGCAAATTTTCGGTAAATTCAAACACTTAAATAAAAATATTTGGACTTAACATACTGTACATATAAAAATATTTTAGACTTCATAACACAAATTTTCACAACAGCATTTACATGAGATAAAATAATATAATTAAAAGCTCCCACAAGGTGACTGTGCATCAGCAATGTCTTGTTCTGTTTACTGTTGATTTCTCAGGGCACCTTCGGCCCTCCTTTGACGCACGTACGGCCAGACAGAGGCAAAGCATGTGTCCTTATATTGTCCTCCGAGGGGCACAGCCCTGAATCACCCAATAAGTTAGTGCGCTGCCAGTAATTCAATCAGTAACTGGGCTCGTCCATCTCTTCGTCGCTCCAGTCAGGAGGTGCGTCTGTTCCAAAGTATCGATCCCCGAAGTTTCCTGCAATAACAACAGCATCAGTTAAACCTGAGAAATGGTTGACATCATGTATAAATCAAGCACGACATGTAGGAAAGAAAGTAATTATAATGCAATTAACAGCACTTCTGCTTTCCACTGTGACTCACCTATTCCAGGTATGATGTGGAAGAGATCATTGACCTTCTTGTCAACAGCTGTTGTGATGATTTTGACCTGTGGGAATGCGTAAGCCACTGAATGGACTCCCATTTCAGCCATTAGCAGAGACACCAGCAGGATCTTGTCCTCCTGAACGTCATGGTCCTGAGATTTAAAACAGATTCATGAATACAGGCTACACAAGGACTGTGATTCAAGCAGGTGATGTGGACCTGTGAACAATGGGGCACACCCACCAGTAGGACTCGCACAGCCATCATGGCAGCGGCTCCCGTGGACACAGTGCAGTCCATTAGGATCACATGATCTTCACTGATGTCTTTGGGTAGACGCAGGTAATGAAGCTGAAAAGGTTAGAAACAGGATGTGGGTTAACGCCAGCCTGTTATAGACACGACAAGTGCCGTGGTTACAGACCTGAGAATTTCCTGAAAAGGACATTTAGATAAACAAAAAATATGATGAAAAAAATGGACCGGTTGCCATATTGAGGACATTCAAGGTATTTGTAGGACAAATAGTAAACGATTACACTGGAGGTCTATAACGTCTTTCAGGCCAAGGATCCCTTAGCTGAAAGAGAGTCAGAGCAGGGACCTAAACCTAAACATATCTTCTAATGGTGCATACAATACTAAGCTATTAAAATAACAATTATAGGCAGCTTCTTATATTTATACATCATCTTCTCTCATTTGCACTTGCCGCTAGCTGCTAAGTCAGTACTAGCTGTAGCATGGCTAGGTGTGTTAGCCTCCCCTTATGCCCTTCTGACCGTGGTTTCTGAGGGGGACGATATGTCAGAGTCTCTTGCTCATAAAGTTACAAAACTCTCAGTGGTGGTTCACAAGAACATCAGTACACTTGGAATAATAATGGTATGGATAGGTGCTGCAAAGTTTATTTAGCGTTAGCTAGCTCACAAGATTGCACAAAGATTTATGGGTAACAGCATATCATCAATCTTGTATAAGGTAAATTTAATATATTTTTAATAGGCCAGTTTCTCTTTGCTAGTGTGTTTTTAGACATATTTTATAAAAAAAACAAAAAACAAAACTTTATTTAAACTTAAATTAAACGATCAAACAATAACTTGGCAGTCCCCCAGGAGCAACTCTTGCAGAGCCCCTAGAAGCTGCAAACCCCTGTTGAGGCCCTAGGTTCCACACAGTTTCTATAACCCATAAGACACCATTTTAAATCTATACCTCTGGTTCTCCTGTGTCCTGGTTAGTCTGGATCAGGATCTTGCCAATGCGGACGTCTTTGCAGACGGCCCTAAGAGCCGGCTCCATGGTCTCCCCAGCTCGCAGGATGGACACGCCTGTGATCTGGAGAAAAACAAAAAGAAGAAGAAGAAAAAAATTAAACTGAGGTTAATTGCATCAGTTTGGGTAGAGACAAAACTCTTCTTTAAAATGAAAAAAATAAAGATAAATAAAAAAAGAAGGCAGGAAGTAAATGGAGTTCACTCACCCTCTTCCCGTGGAAAGTCCTGCCTTCATAATCCTCTCCCTGGGGCGTCTGGACTACGTGGACCTGAGGTAATATAAAAAATCATAACAGTGTGAGCACACTGCTGATCACAGCGCTACGGTGTACAACAGAAGTCAATAATTTCATTTTTCACATTTCAGTCACGTCGTAGTTTGTGTAATGCAAACCTGTATCTTATGGTTAAGGGATGGAAACTTTCCATTGTGGTGACTCGATAAGTTTCCATGCTCATGCTGCGGCGCACTGTCTGTATGTCTATCTGATTCTTTTCTTTAGCAAATACAAGCACTTTTTCCATTCATCTTTATCTTTTAATACCCTCTCCCCATCCCAAGGCCACATGGTGCTTTGTATCTCACTCTGTTACTGTGTCTTGTCAGCTTCTGTCTATCCATTGGTTATCTCACGCTTTCTTTCTGCTACACGTGTCTCCATCTGCGCCCAGGTATCTAATGGTTCAGAGTCAATGTCCTACTTAATACAAAGGATTACAGGACCTTCATGCAGTGCTATGAATTAATTAACAGTGCATCTCCGTGTTTGGCACCTGTGAGGGGAGGAAGGAGAGAGCTCGCTCGATCAACAGACGCATCAGCCTCTTGGAGTAGAAGATGAACTCATCGCGGCTGGTTTCCTTGTTTCTAAATGTGGTGATTAGGAAAAGAAAGACACAAGATTTATAATGATGCTAGCCGCCGCACCACTGCGCTGTTTTTTTTTTTCTTCTTAATGGAAACAGATGTAGCTGTTAATGTGGGTATCTTCTCCTTTACCTGATGATGGTGTGCATGCCCCTGACCTGGGGTGTGCTCTCCAGAACACTGAGGGTCTGGGGGAGGGGTTGGGCCTGGTGAGCAGAAGCCAGGGCTGCCCTGTAACCACGGCAACAAATGGTAGAGCGGGGGTGGTGCAGGGTGAGAGGAGCGGAAAGAGGGAAGATGGACAGACACATGAATACAGCACACACAAATACATGTGTAATTAACATTTCTCTGCACGCATGTGTTCAGCATGTGCAAGTTTACACACACACACAAGCGTGCACACACCAACTGTATGCACATTTAGAAAACACACACACACACACACACACAGACGTGTCAGTACATGCAAAAAAAAAATATATATATATATCACAAGTAGTTTTTCAGTAGTAGTTAGAGCAAAGTTGAAAATGGTAGTGTGCAACCACTGTAACAGGATTGCTTTGGAAATGACAGCAAAGCACACAGTGCCAGTGTTGAGTAATTCAGTGGAAAATTACGACAGCACAGAGACCATGATAATGGAAAATATGTTACGACTAATCAGCTTGGAAATTAACACAATACATATGTATTAAATTTCACTTTCATATAAATAAATGCATGATGAATATTTTCCATAACAGGTCTCTTCTACTTGTGATAATTCCCCACGACTCCACACATAAACATTAGGTTCAAATATCTAGTTAGCCTGGGTCTACGCCGGGCTCTATCTGAACACACACGGTTACTCAGTCATGTTGACACTACAGTATCCACGATGTCACTGAGATAAACATTAGCCAGATGCAAAGAAAAGATAAATCATAGCAAATCTGCTCACATATCCCAGCGAAGTTTCCTCTATAGGGAGGGATTTTTTTTCGATGAAACACAACAACAGTAACGACAGAGAGGACACAGACAGAAAGACGAAAACAACAGATAAGAGGAGGAAAAAAAATGAGACACAACATCAGGTGGATGAAGAGACGAAGGGATTATCGCACACAGTGAAAAGTGTGACAGCCGAGACTTGAAAATGTCAAATGTCTCGGAAATGTGAAAACCACTAACCGTCTGTCATTTTAAGCAAAATATTTCTTGGTTATCAATAAATGTATGTATCGTAACTCAGGGGAGAAATGAAGTAACAGGTCATGCTTTGAGAAGTCTTTGCAGACGTTAGGGTAAAAGAGACCACTTTTTTAGATCAGATTTTTGATAACTATACACGTGCATCCATCGTGTGTACGCGTGGGAGGTGCACAAGCTATGGTGAGGCTGTCACTCTTTCACCGTGTAGAACAGTAGAGGTTGGTATTTCAGCTCACAGGCCCCAGCACATCCTGTGTCTAAAGACAGGCACCAAGCTCACTTCCTCTCTCTCTCTGTCTCAGATGCTGTGGCCGACATTCAATGGAAAAACTCAGTGCTTTGTAGTAGGGTATTGGAAACTTTCTCTGTGGCTGAGGTATGTGATAGTCAACAATAGCTGTAGCGAGAGCTTCCTCTCTCTCTCTCTCGCTTTCTGCTAAAGTCACTCTCTCTCCTATTCTTGCTGCCGCTGAAAGGAGGGGTCAGCAACTTGACTCATTGGTGTATTTTTAGACACAGAAGGCAGGAAGAGTGTAAGTTGTCATTTCTCTAAAAGGTAGAGAAGAGGAAAACCAACGTCTTTACATTATATGCTGGCTGCACCACATCACATCCGAACTTTTGATCTTAGGTTTACTGACAAATGTTTCTGATGGCAGCTTTCATGCAGTTTTTACACTTATTCTGTGTTGGTTTGGACTAAGTCTTTACAACATTTTGGCACAGTTTCATACTCTCATGACTGATCACTAATTAGCCATATTTGCTCTACAGATACAACAGTGCCGCCTGGTGATGTGCCATGGCAGCCAGCAGATCAGAGGAAGGTAGAGGTTGATTTTGCTGGCCTCTTTTCCTCTCTCTCCCAGTAAGAAACTGGAGCAGTCGGGGAATTGGACAGATGGTGAGGAGAGAATGATAGACAGGATAAAGGCCACTCTACCTGACGCTGAGCTCGCGCTGTGAGCCATGGAGGTATTTGGGGTGGAGGGGGAGTGGGGCGAAGGGGGGGAGAGGGTGAGAAAGCAGTCCATCAGCGGCATGTGTGTGTTAATGTGTGTGTGTATGGTGGCGAGGAAACAAAAGCAAACTACATTGTGGCACACGGTGCTCCCCATGGGCAAAAATGTGCCTTTGGTGACAATTAGTGCATACTGCACAACAAATCCAAAAGTCAAAACAGCACACTCTGCTTCGTCTTATTGTGAGGAGGAGGAAGCATAATGAACCGTGGAGATAGGATTTCCATTAGGGTAATGCAATTAATAGCACCTCTTTGTGTATGAGGATTTAATTATTCCACAATAATAAATGTTCCCTGACATTTTCAATTTACCTGAAAACTTCTACTTCCACTTCTACTTCTACATCCTAAGAAAATCCTTGACATTAGTTTGAAATGGCCAAATATTAATTATTAACTAGGAATGAATACAGTTAAAACACTGATTCTTATTAAAAATAAAATGATCTCACTGGAGCTACACGTCTGGAGAGGCATAGTAGTAGTTCCCCTTTAACTATGTTAAACGCCCATTTTCAAGCTATTCCTGTAGTCTAAGGCAGTCTAAAAATATAAGTAAACATGAACAACTCTCTCCCAAATCCAAAGCATGAGGGGTAAAATTCAAATTTGTGATGTCAACAGGTAAAAAGTTTGGAAGTGCTCCACAAACAATGAATAGCATGGCTGCACTGTACAGATGGAGGGCAGGCAATTGAAGGCAACGACCACCAACTCTGCGCATATGCTTTAGTTTTGTGCTGTTTAAAGCTGTTCATATCAATCAAGTTGAGAAAAACACAAGGGCCACTTTATGTCCTGAAAATAGTATGGCGCAAGTAGTAAGGGAGAATTAAATATGGAGCAAAAACCTCTATCTTCAGTTTGGAGGAGCGACATCAACTGATTTTAAATATAAACATCAGAGGGTTGTGGTGAACATGCCTCGAGTTGGATGTTATCACAATGTGCTGCGACAACTTCTCTGTGTTTTAAGCCACGACCCAGATTTTTAACCGTGTTTCACCAGTCCAGTGGGTAGAAAATAGTGGCTAGTGGCTACTAACACCTGACAGCGGTGCAGCCATGTACAGAGTTGAGATATAAAAGACATTTATACTCAAGCACATCTAATTACCCACTGAAACAAGACGGCAGTCGTTCAGTCATGGACCGAGCCGCTTGACACTAGACTGTCTGCTTTTATTGGCCCGCCATGTAATGTTAGTGAGGTTAGGAGGACGATTATGTTCACACCGGTAAATGTCTTCATTTTGTATGAATCACAACCAACGTGAGTTTCAATTTTCTGATGACACCTGCTGCCTGCAAATTTATCCAACCCTGTTACGTAGCCACTTTCATCCATTTCCCATTCACACAGTTTATGGAATTTTCACTTCCTGCCCTCCATCTGAATTTTGTGCATCATAAAAGTCACGTGACTACAAACACGCTATTGGGAAAGACAATGGGACTGAGAGCACCCCGGGGAATGTTCTGAGTATATGGTTAGATTTTCTGTTTCACAACTGAGAACACTACAATGGAATAAAATGCATTTGGATTTAAAAATGAAACAAATGGATTTTGTGGGTCCACGAATTGTCTATGGAGCAGCTCCAGACCTTAGACCTAATAAAATCACAAGTTTCAGACTTCTCTGGTTTCTGGCTTTGAGAGAGAGAGAGAGAGAGAGAGAGAGAGAGAGAGAGAGAGAGAGAGAGAGAGAGTAGCTCATGTTCACAAATATTGATTGAACTTTCCAAGGCCATGTCAATAACATATTGCACTTCTTAATCTATAACATATTGGACTTCCTAATGTAGGTGGTGTTCTCCTTTAATAGTTGTTACTTTGCATTTAATAAGAAAAACCTAAAAATACATGTATTCTGGTCCAAACTGCAATATTTTTTTCCTGAAACAAATACAAGTGACTACAATTAATAACTGCTAACACAATACTTAGCAAAATAATTAATTTCTATCTAATTAGTCTATTCACACTTAACTGAACAAGCCCGAAAACAATCCTGTGCATCATCATTCATCCTGCCCGAAAATCTGTGCAGTGCATTTTCTACCCACTAGGGGGAGTGATGGAGCTGGTAATTACTGAGAGCAACTACACCCTTTATAAGTGCGGATCATCCCAATGGTATACTAAAAATCTTTTTAGCTCTAACAGGAAGATGCATTGAGTCAGAAACCAACCAAACAAACAAAAATAATACCAGGTTTTTTCAATAAAGGGCCATAAAGTTCCACTAATATGTATCTGAACCTTTCTGCGTTGACAATGTCTGTGTCAGTTTTGTCCATGCATGTAGGTCTGTAAGTGTGACCTCTCTTACCTCCTCCAGCTGACTGTGGACATGCTGCACAATCAAATCGATGGCCACCATATTGCCACCACCTAATAGGACGACAAACACAAACACAAAGTGGCCTAATGTCAACTTAGAATCTGCAATAAAATGCATACAGTTTTGCTGAATTCAAAACACAACATAGATGAATATAGTCACTGTATTCCTAATCTTATTCATTTTTAAATAAGTATCATAGTAGTGGTTATGTTTTATCAAACCAGTCTATATGTAAATATGTATGTATGAGAATGCACGCACCTCGTGGCACCACGATATCAGCCAAGCGCATGGTGGGTTCAATGTACTGCTCAAACGCTGGCTTTACAAACTTGTTGTACTGCTTGATGACACCCTCAATGTCTCGGCCTCTCTCTGTGATGTCCCTCCTCAACCGACGCACAAGCCGGATGTCAGAGTCCGTGTCCACAAAAATCTTCATGTCCAGCAACTGTCGGTGAAATAGGAAACAGATGTATCACACATATATGACACTGCAAGCTAAATATATCTTCCTGATTCTATTTCTGACTTCCTTGTGGTGTTTTAGGTCAAACTCTGGGGGCGTAATTTTCGTACAGTTGTGCCATGACACTAAAATGATTATTTATTTGTAAGTTTACTGATTCTTATTTTTGACAACCAGTGTGAAAATGTGTCTTGAGATGAGTCTTAAATGGATGATTGCAATAATTAAGTCAGACAAGGGCAATTGAGCTGCAGAAACGCTGTTTTCTCTGTAAATAAATTATCACATTGGAGCTGCAAGTGTGCAGTGACTCTTAATTAATCTTTCTAATTTATTCTGTTTATTTCTGTCAGCCAGCGCCTCATTACAACAGGTATTTGTTTAACCTACTTCTGTCCTGAAAGTGAGATTAAAGGGTTAATGTGTTTTAATTATATAAAACACAGCTATATTTACATTCGTAAGTACAGTATGATATTGAGCAGATGGACTTGCGGATGAAAAATCAGCTGTTTTTTTTAGAATCATATTGAAAATACAGCTTTTCCTCCAATGTTTATAATCTCCTCTGATAGCAAATATCCTTGAACAGCACCTGAAAACATTAACTTTGTCGTATTAGTCTGTGTATTTACATACCTGTTAATTCATTCGGAAGTAAGCATGAGGATCAATTTGTTCAATAAGTGACATTTTACAGTTGAAAAATAAATGTGTCAGTGCTCCCTGGTGGACAACATGTCTTCGACATTTCTGTGCTGCAATTCTTTGGCACTTATCACACAGGTATGTGCAGATACACATAGACAAGGCTGCACATTATGCAAAAAATATGTTATTGTGATTATTTTGGCAAATATTTTGATTGCAATTTGTGTCACAATTTCAGTGGGGATGGTAATTTTTGCATTTCATTCTAACTTACAAAAATATAACATGATGATAATGTGATTTTTGCTGGGGCTTGTAGCCAATAAACATGTTGATGAGCTTGTTTTTGAAAGACAAAAACATGTTTGATCACATGCACCGATTAAAAATAAATCTGACACAAGAATATTCCACTCAACCAGCTGAGCAAGTTAGTGGACAACCCCACCTGCAAGAGTTTTTTATCTGCGAAGGCCATGATTCCCTCAAAGATGATGACACTGGCTCCATATACGGTTTTCTGTGGTGGACACACATGCATGTATTGTTACACAGTACATGGACATACAAACAGTATATTGCAACAGTCATCTTGATCAATCACAATTTGACAGATGCTCCTGATGAGAGAATGTCTAACTGTAGTTAATGGACATGAAAGTATAAAAACAAGAAATCACAATAACGGCTTGTCAGTGACCATCTGGAGCAGCAGATTTGCAATGTGACTCTGAACCTCTAGCGAGGGAGATTAAAACCCTCTTAGGTAATCGAGAAACTGAGATTATATGCAGCAACTCTGGCACGCTCACTCATTAACTCACAAAGTGCACTGCCATGTGTTTGGATGTGTGCAATCATCCTTACCCACTCCTTCTGTCTCCCATGAGTTGTAAAGTCATACACAGGGATTTTCACGCTCTTGCCCTGTTTGAGTTTGCGCAGGGTGTGGGTCAGCAAATCAAAGTCGAAAGCATCGGGGTGGTCGAAGTTGTAGTCGTTGCTGGCAGCCAGAGTCTGCTGTTCTGGGGTCAGGACCTGAGGAACGCAACAATGCTGGAATTACTTCACAGCAAACTTGCCACAACAATGATGCTTTCAAAGATGACAAAAAGTACTTTCCTGAGCAAAACACTATCTCTGTATCTCGGTTTCTAGCTTTTCTAAGACACACACATTAAAGGGAAACTACACTCATTCTCAAAAGTCATACTTATCATTCCAACGGTCTAAGACAGTAGAAAAATATTAGTAAACATGAGCAACTCTCTCCCAAATCCAAAAACTAGAGTGCTCAAACTTAAATTCATGATGTCATCATAAGTGTTGTCTTTTCCTGGTTTTACAGGCAGCATGACGGTAAAGTAAATTCAATTTTCAGAACTTACCAGACTGTTCTTACTGCTCTGTTATTTGCCTTTACCCACTTGGTCATTATATCCACATTGCTGGTGATTATTTATCAGAAATCTCATTGATTGATTGATTGATTGATTGATCTTTCCTAGGCCATGTACACCGGTCAGCCAAAACATTAAAACCACTGACAGGTGAAGTGAATAACTTATGATTATTTTGTTCCAATGCATTGTTCTGCTGGGAAACCCTTGGTTCTGGCATTCATGTGGATACCACCTGACATGTTCCACCCACTCAAACACCTTTGCAGACCAAGTACCCCTTCTCATGGCAACAGTACTCCCCAATGGCAGTGGACCCCCAGCAGAAAAAAGCAGCAAGCCACGCTACAAAAATGGTTCAGAAATGGCCTGTGGAGAGTGACAAAAAGCTCAAAGTGTCGACCTGGCATCTAAATTTCCCAGGTGCCAATCTGCTCAAGGATTCTTGTGATGTGCCGGTACCCCAGATGTACCCCTAATGATTAGGGGTACATCTGGGAGCCAAGTACGATCCAAGGTGGCCTCACCTTGGATTAGGCCCTAATCCAAGGTGGGGCCTCCTTGGATCTCTGGGAGTGTCCTGCGTTGTCTGGCACCAGGATCTGAGGAATTTGGAGGCCAGGTTGACACTTTGAGGTCTTTGTCACATTCCTTGGGCCATTCCTGAGCGATATTTGCACTGTGGCATGGTGCATTATCCTGCTGGGAGTACTGTTGCCATGAGGAGGGGTGTTTGGTCTGCAACGGTGTTTGAGTGGGTGGAACATGTCAGGTGGTATCCACATGAATGCCAGAACCAAAGGTTTCCCAGCAGAACAATACATTGGAACAAAACAATCAAAGTTATTCACTTCACCTGTCAGTGGTTTGAATGTTTTGGCTGATTGGTATAAAATAACACATAGGAATTCTTAATTTAGGTGGTGGTCCCCTTTAACGTTTGAAAAAATAAATTAAAAAAATCTCAAATGTATTCTGATAAAAGCAGCACACACGTTCAAATAATGGTTTGTCACATAATTTGCATAAGCTTGTGCAATAACACTTAGACACAGATCACTGTTCAAGAGCCTCTGAAGTTAGGGGGACCTAAATTTAGGAGAACATCATGCGCCACTGTGACGTCTGTACCAGGTGGTGTGTGTGTATGAGTGTGTGTGTGTGTGTGTGTGTGCGCCCTTAGGGTGGCTGAGCACTAAAACCCCAGACCTGGTATTTGGCAGTTTCAGAAAAGCAACACCCCCTTCTCAAGTGAACTGATTACACACTTAATATGATAAACCGGTGTCACAGGCTCTCTGGGGGCCGTGAGCAAACATGAGGAAAACGCAACAGAGGAACAGGAGATATGAATTTGAAAAGACATACATTCTAGCCGAAATGTTTGGATGCCATCCTCAGGAATTGCAGTGTGTGTGTGTGTGTGTGTGTATAAAACGGCCCTTGCTGAGGGCTACAGTACCACTGGCCACTGGTAAATCCCTCCTACTCTGCACAGTCTGAACCGCCGCTGTCAGACTGTGACAGGATTACATAACTGGAGAGTGGGAGGAGGTATAGAGGGGCAAGAATGATGGCTCTTGCTTGATTGCCCTTTACCACTCTTTTTCTCTTCCCAATTAGCTCACCACTGTGCCTCACTTTTGACTCATCCGCCTTCCAATATTTTATCCTTTCCGTCTTCTCTCTCTCGTCTTATCTTTATTTCCCCTCTGGGATCCGAAGGCAATCCTATTCACTCTTTCACTCTTGTCTTCTGCACACAGTCTCACTCTTTCCTTTCCTTCAGGTCAAGATAATAAAAGAAACGACCAATTTATTGGACTTATCTGATGTCCAGATTTTAATTTCTAGAATCTGAAAGCGTTTGGTTTCATGGACAAACATGTCAAAATTCAGATAAGCTGTATTTCAAAGTAATAGGCATCCAGCAGCTCAAACTCCCATCACAACAACATTCATTAACAGGTGCGTGGCTGCAATCAAATGGACACTCCCATCGTCAATACATACCACACATACTGCACACACAGGCATACCTTGTAAAAAGAGTCCATTGAGAGCAGTACAACCCATGGCACATCGAGAGCTTCGATAATTTTCCTGGCTACTGTTGTCTTTCCTGAGGCGCTGCCGCCACACAGACCTGTGACAGAATATTGACACAGAGATGTTAAGCAATGTTTGCATTCATGTTCACCTGCTATAGTGTAATTTCAAAATTCCTTTGTTTAATGGGAACGTTCTGTTTTAGTGCTACCTTGACAGGCCACCCTATTATGTGCATGTTGATGTTGCTTTAGGCTAGTACCACACTCGCATGTGGAGAGGCAGGTAGAAACAGATACCATGGCTTTCTTCAAGGCAACTATCCCTGAGTAAATAGGTTTGCAGAAATTCCTTTTCTCTTACACAAAACACACTCCCATGTTCTTGGTAATACATTACATTAACATTAGCAGTGAATATAACGATGGCTTATTTCTGCAAGACACTTATCTGCTTATACAGGGTATTCATTTTGTGTCGAACGCATCAATAGTCCTGTGTCCAAAAGACCTTGCAGCTCAAAATTGTAATAGAAAGGTCATCAATTCTTTGGATTTGTGGCATGCATCTCTCAAAGTGTCCTACCAATAACGAAGGCCTCTTTGGACTGTGCTCCATGCTCATTGTACCAGGGTGGGCGTCCAGCGGTGTAGATGGTTCGTTTGGAAGTGCGTAGGAGAGGTGGCTCAGACTTACACTGGCTGGTGGTCCTTTTCCTGGGTGAGAGGCCTGTGCTTACCGAGGGGAGAAGCCGGTCCAGTGATCCCTCACCACCTCCACTGCAAAGCAACAAACACACAACAAAGCATGCCATCACTGATTATTATTTTTTTTTTGCCTTTTGAAGATTTTACAGAACTAGACAAATTACAGGTTTTGCATAAAACTCTATATAAACCTTTGAAAAGAAAAAGAAGGGGCAGATTTTGGTCTGTTGTTTTCTGCCCATGCATAAGCTAAATCACCATCATTATAAACGATGACATCTTATAAAGTGCTGTATAATAACGTGGCTTTTGGTCACAGTGTGACAGGGGTTTTAATTTAACTCAAAATAAGCTACACACTGAAAGACAGCACACCACCATGGCACAACCAAAGCTCATTAGTGTCCTTGTGATGCATCTGAACATTGATGAAAGTTGGTGTTGGACAGGCCATAAGGCATGGCAACAACAAGATAGCCATGATGACACAAATGTAATCTACAGGATCATCTTAGATAAAACAACAGCTCATTCTTTTGTCCCTGCAGTGACAACAAACAAACACACAGACAGACAGGCAGACAGTTTGGGTGTGTGACTGTGGGGCAGAAATGCAGATGGACTTCAATAAGTAGGTGACCCAGTTAGCTGACAATAAACAAGACAGGGTTGGTGTTGCCTTGTGTGTAGGTTAATGTTTAGTTTTTACATCTTCGACCGCTGAGCTTTGTCCAGCCTTGCACAGTGTAACTGCTGCAGGTACCAAAGTACACTGTATATCAATTCAGTGGAAACATGTTGACTCATGACTACGGCCCTCCCATCAGTCGTGCATGCAACTGAATCATGTGTACACACTATACATTGAGGGTGCTGCCTGTAATGATGTGTTTAGACCAATAACATAAACAAATGACAAGAGGCTCATTCAAAACAGGAGACTGGATTTGCATTGACTATTCAACCCACACACATTGCTCAATTAAATCTTCTGCACAACACAATAACAACACTGCTGACCAACTTTCCACTGAAGAAATTCATGTAAGACCTGGTAATGCTAGTGTCTTGTATTTCAACATAAAAAAATTGCATCTACATACTTTTGTTTCACAGTTTCTGGCAATATAGTTAGTAACTGCTCCACTCAGAGAGCAGGAGTTTAATTCTGTAACACAATAAGAGGATAGTGAAACAGAACAAGCATTGAGATTCAGAAAATGGCTGTGACTAATTAAGATTCAGAGCAGAGAACAGCTACACAAAGACCTGGTGTGACCCATTGCTGAGTAACCCGTCTAGAGCTCAACTTCCCCTGGAAAACCTGCCTAACCTCTCTGACAAAAGTCTGCCCAAGTCTGGGGAGTCTGTGGTGTATTATCTGTACAAAAAATACTTGGACACCATCAGTTATGCAGTTAATCCACTGATGTCATAAATAATACATTGCACAAGAAACACTACCCGTAACCATCACCAACACAAATGTTGCCTTGATTGATGCACAAACACAAGTTTCTTTTGAGTGACAAGTCTAACCAGGTAACAGTTGCTAGAAACACTTACTGCAGTATTCGAGACATCCACACTTCACCCAGTGAGGACTGTAAAAAGCCAGATGCCATAGCAGGTGTAAAAAGCAGTCCTAGATGTACCTCTGCACGTCTCTGTTACTCAATCAGCTCTCAGCTTCGATATCTTTATATAGACCACACATCTCTCCAGGTGGAGGTTCAAAAGGGCAGATGTGCAGCAATCAAGAGAGAGCAAAGATTTATTTTTTTCTTTGTAACGCACCACAGTCACCAGAGCTTGGATGGAGCCAGGGAGCGGGCTAATGACTAAGAGAACAAGACCTAGAAGCATGACACACTCCACTTGGGTTATCAGTTAAAGCCAAACTATAAAAGATTAGCCTAGCTGACTGTGCTGAATCACACCCTTGTGCAGCGGCTACAGTCAGAGCGCTCATAAACATTATGCAAAGTCTGTGAATGCAACGTTATGAAAAGTGCAGGGTACCTGAGACCAGGTTGTCATAAGAGCAGACAGGGGGACCACCTGAGCCCCAGCTGTCAGCAGCAGTCAGTCCTGACACTATGTGTTGTTTCTTTTGCTCTCCTTAAAAAACCCAAGACTCGTGGCTTAGTGGAGGGTCTATACAAGGATGAATTAAAGGCAATGCAAATGCACAATGGCATTAATTGGACAAACCGAACCTTAAATCTATGGATCATGACTTCAACCTCTCAGTTCAGGTTAAGGGTGGTCGAGAAAGTTGTAAACAATGTAAGATTTTTGTCTAATTCTGAGACAGACATATATGATAATATGTCATATTTCTGCAAAACTAAACATATAATCATACATTTAGTTATCTAAATGAAGACAAAAGTCCTCACACACTAACAAAATTTGTGTTGAGTCATTAATTTGTGTTACAAAATTGCGTAAAATGACAACATGATATGATTGTACCATTACAACAATATCGGCACAGAAGAAACTATTACAGTCACTAATACCAAATTTAATTTACAAAATGACAGGTGCAAACTTTCTGAAAGCAGCAAAAACCTGATGGCTATCTTTCAAAGACAGCTAAAGACTGCTTGTCTCTCCTGTTTATCCAGTTTTCGAGAGACAGCAGCTCTAGTAAACCTCTAACAGGGTGGAAGAGCAAAAACACTCAACTGTTTAGTACACCTGAGAATCCTAGAATGAAGAGAAAAAGTTATAGTACATGAATAAAAAAAAATGCACTTACCTGCCATCAGATCTTAGAGTCCAACAGCCAGATATTCTAGCTCCTGAGTCAGATGGTAGGGAGTTCATAACTGATGAAAAATGAAAGCGAGGCTCCCACTGTGTGACTACGCAAGTTGTGTTTTAATCCTATATTACTTCCAACAGGTTTACCCAGTATATATATACACACACTGAAGAACAATAAAGCACTTAACAGCACTGCCCTCTGGTACAGTGCATCCAGAGAGAGGGTGGTAGAGGGCTGACAATATAGAGGGGCGTTAGATTAGATGAGAAACGAAACTTTAAACATCTGTTTAGCTTTCTGTTTCTTCCATTCAGAGGAGCAGTAGTGGAGAGAGAGAGAAGGCACTGCAGCTTGGTGGAGGGAGCACGCTCAGTGTGAAACTACAGCACAGCTTTTTCCCTCCTCTTTCACTCGCTCTCCACTCCTCCCCTCAGCCATCCAGCCAACAAATGTAAGAGGATAACCTACCCTACAGATTATGTTCATTAGGTGGTATTAATAGCATCAGGTTAGAGCCAGACCTTCCCACTTCTGGCACAGGCACACACACATAAACACACACACACACACACGCATGCATGCCAAGCTTGGGTCATCTGTTTTTGACAGTCAGTGGCTGGAGGTGACAGAGGGACCAGAAGAGAGCGACAGAGACACTGATAAACAAACTGGGGAAAAAAACAGAAAAACCGTAGGATATAGCTCCTCCTCCGCCTCAGGCTGTGTTGTGGAGGTGAAGAGAGAGAGAAATGGAGAGAAGGGAGGGAAAAAAAAGAGGAGGCAATGTGCTTTTTTCCCCTGCAGGGACTTGCAATGTCTCTATGAGCCTTATACCAGAGTCTGGAGACGTCAGCACGACAGCAAACACACACACACACACACACACACACCAATGTCCCCTCCCTAACTTCCCTAACAGCGAAGGGTGGGGAATAAACAGCATGATGAAACCCAACACTACCTCAACTGCTCTATCAGCTGACAGGCAACGCACACATACAACACATAAACACACGCACACATGCACACACTCGCACTCCTCCCGGGCCACAACTTGCACAGACAAACAAATCGTTATTCTCAGAGATCAGAGGAGACAGACTAATTGTTTCCCAGTGCAGCAAAAACAAACCCAAGAACTGAGCAGGCCACAGCTCCAGAATCACAGAAGCTACTAGATTAAGATTTAAACCAACATTTAGAGCGTTTCCAAATATTTGGAGTCTGGACTTGACAAGACCTAATTTCCGTTTACTCCCTCGTTAAAACCACAGGGCAGAGACACACAGGGATTCAGTGTTTTTCTCTAATCTTCGCTGTAGTTTTGGGACTGTTGCTGTTGCTTTAAACTGCAGTCAGAGGACAGCTGCGAAGCAAGAAAGCACCTTCGAAACAAGAAGCCTGAACTGGTTGCTATGCCAAACATTCAGCTGTCTCTCTATGGCTACACACACACTCAGAAGGGTCATGGGCCCGACCTGAAGTGAAATTTACTGATCTTGTGAGTACAGTGAGATAAATGTTTGACTATTTATTTAAAGCAGCATATAGTGTGGAACATTTCACAGAGGCCATAAAAGTACAAGATATTTCAACACTATCCAAATTCCAAACACTTATTCTTATCTATTCTAGAAACTAGGACAGAGTTATGTAAGTAGATATATATACATCAGGTGGTTGAAATAATTCAAACACTTACCATAACCGTGCCTAAATAAAGTCTTTGCAATTCTTTCGCTGTTTAATTTCTGTTAATTCTAATACTTTCTGACTGCATCTGGGAGGTGCTGATTCACCTGGTAATTTTTTGAGGCTATAGTTTGTGGTACTTTTTTTTTTTTTAAACAGTGTGCAGGATTTATATAGAGTTATATACTGGCAGAAATATGACACAATAAGCCTGTTTTCTTTAGTGTATAATAACGTGAAAATAAAAATCATGTGTTTATTACCTCAGAATGAACCGTTTATATCTATATCGGAGCATCCAGAGAGGTCACAATGTTTCTACAGCAGCCCAGAACAGACAAACCAAACCGGCTCTAGACAGGGCCATTCGGCTTTGTGTCGGCAACTGTAGTTGGTGGCCCCTTAGCAGCAGAAGTGTCATAAAACCACTGATTCTTTAACGAGAAACTGCATTATTCAGTGTTTCTGGTGGTTTAAATGACTAGGTTCATTTGGTTTGTGAAGGAAGAGACCTCCACAGATTATTCAGCTTATGGTAAAAACCTCCTGAACCACTGAATCAGAAATTAGGTGAGCACAAATTAAGTTATCATGGAAAATAGGTGAGCACACATCAGCAGGTGTTGGGCTAGCGGACTGTCTGCGACATGCCGAACAACGTGGGAGAAACACATTTTGTATTTTTACCTCTTTTAATCACCTGGTCAGTTTGTTTTGGAGTAGAGGAGAACCTCTTCTGATAATTTAGCTCCTGGTAAAAAAAACCTCCTGAACAATGAACACTGAGGGAATTTAACTAGGAGAAGTTTCAGCTAATTGCAAACTGCAATCCTCGGTGCTAGATGCCATTAAATCCCCCAAAAATCAAACACACTGGACCTTTAAGCTTACTGTTTAACCATAATAAGAGATCATTTGTTATCAACTGGCTGTTATAATGTTTTCGGACGGGCAACCTGCAACGTGACATCCACCAGCTGGAGCGTTTATTGGTCTGTTGTGGGTTTTCTACCTCTTGAGAAAAAGCCAATGCCACTGTCCTCTAGTCTCTAGTCATGCAGCACCAATTTAACAAGTGTCTCTCTACTGCACTGACAGCATAGTTTTATGAAAAGCCAATCTTTCCTGCAGCGCAATACATCTTTAATATCTCTTTGCAGCTATATAAATATCAACATGACTTTGCCATGCTTCATGTGAGTATAACTTTAAAGCCTGTGGGATGGTTAAAGTGAGTCTACAAAACAGGAAGTAACCCTCAGTGGACAGACCAATGCAGCAACACCCTCTTGTGGCTCAGTGGGGTACCAAGTTGAAGGCTGGTTTTACTGTAGGTGGTTACAGAGGGGTGACTAAACTGGGTCAATATCACAAGATGACGTCATTTACTTTCTGCTACAGTGCTAGTCACCTTAATCAAATGTTATTCTCGTTATGTGGCCTTGTATTTCCCCTAAAGGGAGGGTGTGTGTTTGTCAGAAATGAGCACTTTGTCATGCTGCAATGCCACCTGAAAACGCCATGCCATGCTTCTTCCTTATGGTCAGTGAAAGCTGTATTAAACCATTATATTCTGGATATTAATTTCCTCTCTATGTACACCCGTTACACGCTACCTTAGCGTATCTGAGATGACGTATATGTTTATGGATATCCTTGTGTTTTTGGGGGTTTGAGAATGAACTTATGTTGGGAGAGAACCTCGTGCTAAATATGACAACTGTTATAACCAAGTGAAAGAGTGGGATAAACGTTAGACTAAAAGTACACTGGGTTAATATGACATCTGTTATGAACTAATAATTACGCTGTAACTTCCTGGCTGTCACCGCAGCGACACTTTTATATAAGGTAACGTCACAGTGGCTGTACCCGTGGAGGCACACTGTGTAACAGGCAGGTCGTGTTATCGTAAAGATGCTAATCAACTGCCAGTCTTTTTTTTTTTTTTTTTTAAATGGCGTCAACGGTTACCGAGAAAAACAATAAAAAAATGTAACCGTTGTACCTGTTGGACCCAGAGGAAGTTCTCTCGTCGTTCTCCATCTTTGGGTGCCTTTCTTCCCTGCTAACGGCAGACATTGCTCGTCTGTTGACAATCAGGTGTTCAGAGCGGGGTTGACAGCAGTTAGCGTTGAGGCATCATGGGGCTTGTAGGCATATCGTCTTTCACCACGGCAAGGCAACGGGTACAACGGCCGGCCATTTGGACTTCAAGCCCCAGAATGCATCTGTGCCGTTTTTTCGGTGTACTTCCCCCAGCATGTACAGTTGTGTATACTGACACAGGGCCTTTCCCCATGCGAGTGCTAACCATGGGTGAGGTTCAGCTGGCCACGTGTGAGATTTTAGCTATGAATACAGACTTTTGTCATTTTACGACATACATAGACTTTTTAAAAAAAAATATTTTTGTGTGATTTAGATATGTTATATCATAATCATAATTTTAAAAACCATTTATGTGAATTTATAATGCAATACACTTAATCAAAAGTCAGTTTCAACTTCGATAGGACAAGGATAAACACAATTATGCTGATACAAATTGCAGCTGTTATCTAAGTTGTAATAAATCCTATGATAAAAGCCATTATGAAATCTCTTCACACTGGGGAAACATTCACCAACTATGAAAGCCAAATTTTTAATTATTCTAATTACATTTTCGCAAAAAGCATTTTACACATTTGACAATTTGGCATGTCATAGTAAGAACATCACAGGTGTTATTTAATCAATGATGGCTCCCTTCCATTTAGGTGTGGGAGTGAGCCAGTGTGCTCAAAACAGGATCCCTGTAACTGGCACACAGGAGCTCTGCCTTTAGTCGGCACACCTGTGTTTGACAAGTCAAAATGTCCACTGTGAGAAAAGAGAAAAGTCCATTAGCAGCTTCAACTCACTTGAAAGTTGACACGGTTGACACATTTTTTTAGTCAACAAACTTTTATTAATTAGTTGAGGGATACTAATGCACAGGTAATACAACAAGTTTGGGAGAAAAAATTGTAACAGTTCAGACTCAAAGGAGGTGTCGACGCCTCCTGTGTTAGGTTCTATACAGCTTAATTTCAGATATGGAAATCTTTAATACATCATTAGTCTCATTTCACCTGTTACCTATACATCATAACCAGTTATGAGCTACAACATCATCTCTTAAAACGATCTCAACAGCTTCATCACAATGGCCCCGACAACAGAGGCGGATCCCATTTCCTGCTTGTGAAGTAGGTAGCATACAAAACGAACCACTGCTGTCCAAATAAAAGGGTAGAATTCTCAGGCTGACTAAGGGGGGATGTCTAAGGATTTACCTTGGTTTTGGAAATAACATTGCTGACAAAGGGAAGACGCTTGAGCCTGCTGTTTCCCCAAGTACAAAAGTCACACCACACACAGTCAGGGTAACTAGAAAGCTCCAACAACACTCCTATTTCAAGCCTATTTCATGGTATAGTAAGTGCACTAAATACAGAAACAAACACACATACATATGCCTTGTTGTCCCATATTGAATAGATAATAATAAAGGACTCTCTCAATGTGTTTGTCATCATGTACTGAAAAAAGCTTGATTTATGTGCATCATCAAAATGGATAAAATAACAGTGTATGCCGACACATAGGCCTACAATGTTCTGTGTGGTCTACAAATCTTTTCAACCTTTTTTTTTTCCTTTTTTTTTTTTAGATTTCATAATATGTAAAAAGCATTTTCAAAGCAAACAAATAAAAGTAGGGGGAGTGAAAAAAGCCATACAATTTTGAGAAGACACATCAATATCAAAATATCAGCAAGCCAACAAAACCAGCTAAATATGGT